CCCCCCGCCCCGTGCCTTTTTGTGACCGAAGACCTCCTGTGGCCTGTGGGGCTCTAGGGGGCAGAGGCCGCAGCCGTCCTGACGCCGTCCTCGCCTCAGGGGCGTGCTGCTGCCCGGCAGCAAAGCTCACGACGGCCAGCTTGAGCCGGACGGCGGGGACCGCGGGGACCGGCGGCGGCTGGCCCGAGGCGAGGGGCTCAACAACTTGCAACGAGTTTAGCGATCCCGTAGTCCGGACCCAGCTGGGTCCCGTGCGGTCCCCTCGGTCGGCTGCCGCTGGCCATACACTGCTAGACATCTAAAAATCCGTTGATGCTCAATGATGCTCGGAAAAGCATGTTTTTCACAATGTGAGTTAATATATGTAGTTGGCTGTCATTTTCTGTTGCACAAAAGTACAATATATAACGCAGCAGTATAAGGGTTAGCCTACTCGCTTTACCCGTAAGGTGCCATGGGCTGCATTGCTGTGTCGAGTGTTTGCTGTTTGCTCACGCCTGACGCCTGGTACAAGCTCACACCATAGCGCCCGATGGGTAGGCAGCATCTTGCCTGTAGTGCGTGCGTGTGCTACAGTTTGCCTACCCCGAGTCTCGCAGGCGCCGAGCTCCAAGCTCTTGTAATTTGTCCATCCCTCTGGAAAATACCCCCGTAAATTTACGATATTCGACTTTCGATTTTCGCAGTGACAGATCCGAGAAAAACGGATATTCTTTCTGAACGATCTTGCACTTGCACAGCGCATTGCGCACCAGACATTAGCAGCTCAGCTGCGGTAAGTCGTCGGCGTCCAAGCCAAGCGCATAGAGTGTACCTCCCACGCGAACCATGGCCACGCCAACAGATCAAAAAGGCGCGAGTGAGTTACCAGTGAAGCGGATTGGAGCGGCCAACTACGTTAAGGGTGAAGCTATGCGAATTGTTCGATTTCGAATTGAACCGCCCCAATTCGATCCGTATTCGTCTGATTCAATGTTGAATAATTCGAAGTTGCGAATCGGAACCGTTTGACTTCGAGTCAACGAACTGTGACATATTGGCTGAGCGATTAGCGACAAAATCAATATTACATAAAGTAATAAAAACTAAAAATTTTGGAATTCATCAATTAATTTTGAATACTTTTTACTGGATCCGATCCGGACCCAAATTTCAGGAAGGTTCGATTCGAAATTTCTTGAGCTAATTCGATTCGATTCCAAGAAAATTTGTGCGATTCGATCCTATTTGAAGGCAAAAACTTCGATTCGCACAGCTCTACAGTTGAGGGCGGGGGCGGGTCTGCTTGTCGTGAAAACAGTGTAGGCTCTCATGGACAAGCCTTGTTCTTGGAGAGACAGACGGGGCGCCTCCTAACCCCAGTGCCCCCTCGGGGCTCCCTCCGGGTCCGGGCGTCAACTGTGGAACAGCAGCGCAGCCGATCCCAGCGGCCGATGCGCAGAGCAGAGCTCCTCGACCCTTCTGGAATAGGACTAGAGGGGCGGGCCAGCGGGCCTCCTAGCAGCATGTCAGGGAGAGAGCTCGTCTTTAAGCGGACGATTCAATAAGTCAAGAGCGGGTGGGCCGAAATTGGCTGCCGCCCGCGAAAGTCGGCAGGTCCACTCTCAAGCTGATGTCTCGCGGTGCAGCGGCAACGCGTGCGGTTGTGCAGCAGTAGATAGTTTCAGAACTTGCGGCTGTTTGACGTTACACTGTGTGTCTGTGTGTCTCTCGTCAGCATGTAGTTTCCCCTCACCCCTGACCCCTCTTGTTCTCTTGAGCCTTCTCCTCTGTGGAAACATCCACAACCACCCCCCTTTCCACTTTCTCACCACAATCCCCCTCTCCCCAGCCCATCCCGTATCAACTCGGCCAAAGCCATAGGGCTGCTGGGTGATACTTCTTTCAAAAGGAATATGAAAAAAAGTGCTCCATCGCATATCTCCCCCACCCCCAACCCTCTTTCTTCGTCTCCTTTCCTC